GGTAAGGGAGTAGGAGCTCAAAGAAAGAGCTAATGAAATAATAATAGAGCATCAAAATTGCCCTTCATTACAGCCAGGACCCAGAGTGGAGAGTCACTGAAGGCTGGCACCAGAGCACCCATACCAGCAACAAACCACAAGCAAAAAGAACATCCACTATTTTTAGTCCTGTCAGGACTGAGTATCAATTTCAGTTTGTTTTGCTTTATTTTACTCTGTTGTTTTTCTCTTGCTACTCTTGAAAATCATTCCCAGTCCYTACTCTCATGACCCACATTAAAATTATCACATGCTCACTTTCAGCACTACAAACATGASTGAGGTAAGCCCAGTGACATGCATGTGGTTATACTTAACTCATCCCCTCCAGAAGGTACAAGCACAATTCATGTCTTCTGGACAGTCCTTTCCAGAAGTGGATCATAAAAATCAAAGAAGTGAACAAGATCCATTATATTCCATATGAAAAATTTTATGAAGCATTAGAATATCCCATAMAGCTTACTGCACATGTATGACATACAAGAAATCCTGACAATAYAAAATTAACTTCCATGGTAGTCAGACTTCAGGCAATACAGCATCAAAACTAGAGAAAACATGTTTTTATTTTTGAGTCTCATAAAACTCAAAAGCATTATAGACATGACTGGACAAAGCATGCATAGTTAATCCTACTGTAATTTATTAAACTTCTATGCACAAGTTAGTTCTGTTAGCTCATCAGAAATATTTAAGTGTTTCCCAGTAAGATTACAATTACATTTTACTGGTTTTTTTTCTACCACTCTCCTGTAGTTTGTASAGACTATTGTCAGCATTTTGAAGGAGTCTAGGAGTTTCTGTACTCCATGATCTTGTACCCAAGTACCCTGGTTGTAATGGATGAAACTACTAGATGCAATACTGCTGCCCATCTGTAGCATGGAGACAGCCTGTGGATCATGGAGTACTTTCAAAGAGCTGTGATATTAAAATTAAATAAAAATTTCATGTGAAATTCCAGCAGTAATAAATCTCCTGGTGAAGAACCACACTACAGATCACACTCCAGCTACTAACAAACTGCCACCRAAAGCACAGCCTTCAAATGCACTGACAAATAACAGGTGAACTTCAGAGATGAGCAATCAAAGGAGGTGAGTGCTCTTCAGTGAAAAGCTAATGTGGCAAGGCATAAAACAACATTTGTAACACTTCATTCCAGCAGTTATCTGCTCAAGATAATGGAGTCAAAAGAACTGCTAGCACTTTGCACAATAAGGCCCCTGGCTCCAGTCTCTCCCATTCATTTCAGTGGGAGCCAAATTACAGGTTTATCCAATAATTCATATAAATCACTCACAAAAATACCAATTAACTCCTGAGTAGTAGATGTGTGATTTTCTTCAACGAGTGGACACAATTATCACTTAGGGCAAAAGGACAGATCCTGCTACAGGTGGCATTTCTACTCCATGCATCATAAAGATCATGCTGACAGTTTGATTTTCCATATAACAATTCACTAGGAACTCCTGTTTTCTTCTTAAAAGCTAAACAATTATAGTGCTTGTACTACATAGTAAAATGGCAACTTAATTTTCATTTTGCTGCTACTTAATCAGTCAGGCCACATTCCTGTTTCACTTAATCAGCACAAGTCTTGTCCACTTTCAGATCTAATACACTAATCAAGGCCTTGCAGGCACATATCTATTTTTTTCATAGCAGACTTGTTTAGATGTATTTTRTTCAAATAAACACACATTTCTTCCCATAAAGTCGCATTTTACTGCCTGTCTATAAAAAGTTAATGCCTTGCAGAGGTATTTCTCAGACTTCAAAGAGTTTCAAAGCAATCTGTCTGAGCAACACTCCTCCAAGTATTTGTATGTTTTCCTAGGCACATATTCTAGTATGCGATGCTGGAACAAAAATGATTTTGTTTCACATGCTAGAACTTGTTAGTCCCTTGGCTAATATAAAACCTTCAAGATCTTTGCGAGTTGTGATTGTTTATTTTAATAAAGTGACACACAGATACAACATACTTGCAGAATGATACCACAGCTCTATTGACTTGGCTTGTGCCCTTGGACTTGGCCAGTAGGAAATGCCTCTGAGCAAGCTTTTCACAACTCTCCTATGTTTTCTCCCTAATCAGTTGTTATGTATTACTGGCAGCAGTTAACAGACAATCAGTCATAGAGTTAAAAGGACACTTCCTTTCAAACAAACTAGATAGAATCACAGAACATGCAAGGCTGGAAGTGACCCACAAGGGTCATCAAATCCAACTCTCGGCCCTGCACAGGACCATCTTCAAGAGTGCCTGAGAGCGTTGTCCATAATCACAGAATTATTCATTTTCTGGACTAAATACATCCAAGTATCTACTAAACACAGACACATAAAGCAAGTTATTTTTGTATTGATATCAGAACAGTCATTGACTTACCATGACTTTCACTGCAATTCAGTGACAGATATTCATTATTGTCATCACTACAGATGAAAATGCTACATATGTAAACATGTGACAGTCATTAGGGTCAGAAGAGACCTTTCAGCCACCAGTGTTGGCCTCTGGTACAGCCTCTATACTTCAGCAAGATGCTCCCATGCTGAGCTCAACAACTTGACAAAAACAATTGTCTAAAATGACATCTCAATGAGAAGAGAAAGAGATGAAAAGGATCCTCCATCTCCACTCCTTCTATTTGTAGTCTATGCCAAGCATTACTCATCCTCACTCCTGATAATATGTGCTTTTTTTTCCATTCTAATTTTTCTGGCTACAAATTCCAACCACAAGTTTTTGCAATAACTTTGCACTAGATTAAATTAGCCCACCATTTTCTCCACATGAAAATGCAATGTATGTAAGCTCTTACTTTTTAATTCTCTAAGGTGCTGACAGAAAAGCTCTGCCAAAGCTTATTAGAATTATTTAAGGCATCACCACTTGCCTCTCAGCTGCCTTCCCAGAAAATTTTTCGAGAGAAAGTGCCCATACCAAGCTGCTCCCATAAACTGTCTTGTTTAAGTTGCAAATTATAACCAGTCTGAAGGAAAATAAACAAATTTGTGATGGAATGCACTTACTCCCTGACTCCTTCTGTCAGCTCATCCTGACCTGATATTCATCACCCCCTCTTGATATCCCCACCTTCACTAACTTTCCATTCTGAGTGTGTTTTGCAGATTCCCTTGGGCTGCCATTCCATCCATTTACACTCTTTTAAACACAACAGAACCACTTCTGCCTAACAACAATTTTCCCAATGCCATACACCCACATAAAGTATGCCTGGTTCGTACAAATTACTTGATCCTAATTTGCATATGCAAAGCAATTAACCTAATTTGCCTCAYAGCAACATGATATGAGCTCTTACTTAGTTGCAAGTCTTCATTAATCCCTAAATAAACCGTTAAATTCCAATAAATTGTTTCTGGCACATGGTTTCCTTTTCCTACTGTACAACCTGTGTTCCTTGCTACTTCAAGCTGAATTTTGTGTTGGGCAACCTTAAAAAATCATTTTTGGTCCAGCTGTGCAAGTAATACACAGGACTGTCCTTTCTCCATCTTTTCCCATTCCTTTAAGTTTCATGCCATCACAAGATGCAGGAATACTGTTTTTAAATTTATTTTCAAAAAATGCTTTAAATACATAGCAMCAGGTCTAGCACAGGTACAGGTGTAACCCTATCGGAAAACACATGTTCAATAAGGGCATTTCACTAACCCCAACTGAGACCTGCCAGCCAAATGATTTTTAAGGAGTGCATTACTGATATTGCACAGCAACAATTTGACTTGTCTTCATGTATCTTTTGCTATTAACGAATAGTAGAAATAAAGAGAATAGCACAAACTGACATTGGACAGAATGTATAAATCTTCCACTGTCATAGAAAAATCATGAGACCTTTTTACATTATTTTAGGCAGCAATGTGCCTAATCATGATCAAACATGCATATCAGATCACTAAGCATGATGTAATCATGGCAGCTTGGCTGCTGCAGCAGTGGATGAACTTTGGCGTCTGATTATTTACTAAGCTTGTTATGCCTAGCACTGCTCTGCTGTCCTCCAGCTTGTAACTGTCTTCCTAAAATAGTCTGAGGATATTGTATACAAGTTAGATATAGTCATSCTGGAACAGCAGTCCAGTAACGGTGCTGTCCATCACTACACTGCTGTGTCCTCACTGCTCCATCTCTGGCAGTCACCAGCAGGCAGTGAGGACCACATATGCCATGTTTCTGCTGAAACTGTTCAAAGCTGAGAGGTAAAAAGGATTTTAAGATAAATTTTAAAAGTTTAAAACAAAACCCAAACAACAAAGCAACCTTAGTTGGTAAAAGTGCACTAAGCTAATTCTGCCTTTTCCCTCAGGATTGCCAGGGACCAGTCCACCTTTCCAGGTCACAAGATGCCCCAAGGGAAGGTGACTGGTAGAACAGCTGGGGTTAAAACTACCTCATTGCAACACCAAGCTATGACTAGGTGGCTATGACTAACTCAAAGCCAGTGGAGCTCCAGATCAAAATCTTCAGCAGGCAGGGAAGAGACAACTCTAAGCCTGTAGTGAACATACAGATGTGAACCACTGCCCAGACATCAGAGGAGAAAAAGGAGTCAGGTAATGACAGTGAAGACCACCTCTTCCTATCTAGCAACATGCCAGTGGTATCAAAAGGAAATTACTAGCTCCAAAGGTGCAGCCAGCTCTCAGTCTCCTCAGAGCCAGGCAGAGGACAGCTGTGAAACAAGAAAACTAGTAGAGAACAGTGAACAGTAAAACAATAATGCTTTAAATCAGCCCCCTCATCTTGGACTGCTCAGTATGTCCTTATTTGTAACATCATCACTTATGGGGTTCTGAAATTAAATAAACAAAAATTTCAAGATAGTTTGCCTGCATCGTCTAGGGGACCGAAAATACTAGAACGTAATTTTTACTCTTGYTATGACAGCAGAAAAAGTGAATTAAAAGTAAACTTTTACCTCTTTTTCTATTTTGAGCAGCTTCTTTACTGCCACCTCCTTGTCCTGGGAAATCCATCGGGCTCGGTAGACACTCCCAAAACTCCCTCCACCGCAGTTCTCAAAAAACTGCAAGTCATCAAATTTAATTTGCACAAATGAAGCACTGGTAGACGACATCTCATAATGACAAAATACACCACAGTAAAACCTGTAAAGAGAAAAGCTTTCATTAATGCACATGCTCCAAGGATTTATGGACTTTCTTACCCATGCTCAGTCRCCCCAAAATCAGAATCATAAGCACTCTACAGTAAAATCCACAGGCCACAAGAGGAAAAGAACCTGGGAACTTGCACTCCAGCAGGCTGTGTAAACGTTTGCATAATTTGCACAAGCTGTTAGGGGGAGCTGGGGGACAGAAACAACTAACAATATTGCTCCTGACGTTTCCCGAGCACCTTGGAAGCAGCTCCGCCAAAGGCAGGCCCGTCGCTGCCCTCGCCGTGGACAGACAGGAAGCGTGCTCTCGGCTCCGGGTTGCCTGCCCGCTCAGGCACGCCAGGCACGCCGCCCTCCCGCCGCGATGGCCACGAACGAGGCACACAGCAGCCCTTGGGCCGGCCACGAACGAGGCACACAGCAGCCCTTGGGCCGGCCACGAACGAGGCACACAGCAGCCCTTGGGCCGGCCACGAACGAGGCACACAGCAGCCCTTGGGCCGGCCAGCAGCGGCACCTCGGCACACACCGCCTGCCCTGACAGCACTCCGGGCGAGCTCGGAGCACTTCACACAACGATGTGGAAAAACCAGGCCATGGTAAATCTCTCTTCCTGAGTGACTCAGTTCTGTTTGCACGTTGTAACAAAGCGCAAGTACAGGATAATTCATCTGGGTTACAATATGCGAAATTCTGCAGCCTGTGCCAAGACTGGTGTCGGCAGTTTCAAGAGATGATCCCAAGTCTGCTGACAGGGGAACAGAATGTCCTTCCACGAGATTTCACGGCAATAAAGCTTATGGCTGTAGCGAAATTCAAAAAACATTAACACCTAAATGCACGAACAATGACTAATTTTAGGTTTCTTTTTTTAATGATGTAAGATCAGAAAGTTCAGGTCTTTAGTGGGACTGCAAGACATGACATCCTTCAGAATCCTCTGCAAGCCTGCCACGGGATCAGTTCAGATGGACCACCCTAGACAAAGCAGTTTTGATCACCAGCAGAAGTTACTACGCTTGCAATTAATGACAGCAAACTTACCAGAACAGAATGAGAGATGTATTTTGATAAAACAAGCCAAAAAAGAAGCAGAGACCACAGGCTGATGGTGAAAACTACACAACCAATTYCACCGGTAAATTACTGTACCAAAACATACTATGCCTTCTGGGTCAGCCATTCCATAGGGTTTTTTGAGATGAAACATATATAAACCTGTAATACTCTTAACAGTGCTGACTGCCAGAATCCCTTTATGCCARCACCTTCTGCAACAAACACAAAGGCATTAATTTGCCCCCTGACTCTCCTGATTGTGCAGCTAATCTGATTAAAACTTGGAGATATCATTTGACCAGGAATTTCTGACAYTATTTGGTTGCAGCTATTCTCCAAATGAGAGATGAAGATATCAATACTTTTCTACACATAACATAAAGCCTTCTCTGAAACTGCCTGCTTCATTTTATATCTATTGACCACCCATAAAGACAAATGCTGACCAGATCATGGCAACCTTACTATATTGACGGAAGGCTCTTTAGGAAGGAGCAGACTTCAAGCCTTTCACTGACAGCAAGCCTGCAGAGCCCTCTGGGAGGGAACATGAATGGTCTCTCCCCAGAGGTACAAGTCAGAGCAGGGGTTACCAGTGGCATGTGAAATATAGTCCATTCTTGCAGTGCTCTATGGCCCCTTCCCTAACACAAGTGCCTGAACTCTCCTGCTGACTTTCTGTTCTTGTTTTAACCTTGTTGCTGTTGTTGATTTTCTGCCATCCCAGAGTCATCTCTTGCAGAGTCTGTACACATTTTCTTTMGAGAAAGCTCAAAGGAAAGGAAATTGGTCAATCCTACAAACTAAGAGAGTAGTGAACATTTTACTCWTCTGCTCTTTGCCGGTGCTGTTTAATTAGCTGTCTTCAGAAACTAAAGTTCTTTTGCCTCATTTATAGACAATGTGACAATTTATAGACAAATAAAACAGGTTGACTTCCCAACCCAAAGACCTCACAATTTAAGGCCACAGCCTGGCACTTATTTATGCACATGGGTAATCACACTTGAATGAACAATTTCCTTACTGACAACAGAATTAGGTAGAACAATGATGTTACTCACAGGCCAAAGCATATGCACCAACTGGACCATAAATTTAACAGGAAAGTGGGAACASCTGATAACAGATCATTGCATTTGGGGTGGCAGAAGGAATAGGAAATCAAGTGAAAAGAAAAATACATCCCAGGAAAGAAATATTTCTGGCCTTCACTATCTCAATTCAATAGTTCTGAAGCACTGTCAAATTATTTAACATCATTGTTCACCCAGAACCACTAAATCAACCATACAAACTAGTAGATTATTTGATTTCTGAAAATTACACTAGCATAAAATAACATACACACCAGACACTTGACAAATACAAATKAATACTTTTCTGATGGGTCCTCCTTACTGCTTCAAACTTCACCTCAATTTTCATGCACTCACAATGCAATGCTGGCACATAAGCACTTGCAGAAGCTACTGCTCATTCTTTAAACACCTTCCCAGGTTCAAATTTGCCTAAAGCAGCCAGCCAGCTGCAGATCACAGGATCAACACTATCAGTTAGGTGGCAAGACCTTTGAGATAGTGAGYCTAACCTGTGACCAAACAATACCATGTCAACGACACCAGGGCACTGAGTGCCAAATCCAGTCTCTCCATAAATCTCCAGGGACAGTGACTCACCATCTCCTGGGGAGCCCATTCCAATATCTAATCACCATTTTTGTGAATAAATTCTTTTTAATGTCCCRTCTAAAYCTCCCTTGGTGCAGCTTAACACATTCTCTTGTCCTGTAGGTGGTTTTCAGGGAGAAGAGGCTGACCCCTGCCTGGCTACAACCTTCTTTCAGGTAGTTGTAGAGATGCTATAGGGCACCAGCATACAGTAAGTTAACGTTAGTTAAAGAATGGTTAATTGGTTTGCATGGGGTTCTTCCAGCTGCTTTTTTTTTCCAGATCAAGTACAGGAGATTTACAAGGGACATTCTTTATTAAGAGATCTGTAATTAAAAGCAGCCTACATCAGTTTTCTCCTTCTAGATGAAACAACAGACCTGTTTAAACATTACTCCATKTTTTTGGATTCAATGTTGTTAATCCTCAATTACAGAGATCAATCTGTTATGTTGGAGAAAACAATTGTTTAGATTAACAAATGCAAGTGACAAATCCACACACAGTTATTAWGCTGTCATTCTGTTTTAAAGACATTTAACAATCTGAATTTATACCATTGGTTAAGAGAAAAAATAATAGATCAGGTCTTGCATTAAACTCCAGTCTTACACTTGCATCTGAAACAAGCACAGCATTTCAACAACGTGCAGCACTTTTCTGCATCTTACACTTCTGCAGTCAGGAGAGTGGATCTCTGCAACAGGGCCTTTAGGCCTGCGGCGCTATAGTAGCTCCTCTGTGCACAGTTAAGTAGGGTTTGGGACCTGCACCCTCCTTCCCCACTCACACGGTTTTGGGTGCTTAAGAACCAYCCCTGTGTAGCAGGGAAACACTACATTGACTGACTTTGTTGCTTGTACTTAATTAAGTGAAAATGTCACAGTGCAGAAGCAGCGAATGACAGGTATTTCAGGAAATAATTCAAGTGCTGGTTATTTCAGTTGTTCCTACGGGATCTTCCTGGGGTAAAAAGAGTYTGCTCCTTTTTCTGTTTTATTTCTAATAGTTAACATAAGCTTGTAATCTTGCAGCAACATCTCCATCATCTCCTGGCTCTTGTTTCCTCATAGTAACTTATATTTGAACATGCTGCTAGAAGCTGTTCATTTCATGCCAAAATTGCAACAGATCTGAGTTGCATTTGAYAGTGTTGAACATTTGAAATTATTATTTAACATTAGTACTTAACATGTCAGGAACCTATTACACAGAGACACTTTGCTACAAGCCMTTATGCCACCACAAGCTCAGTTCAGAACACTAATGATGCAGGTGTAGGAAACAYCTTCCATCACTAGCCTCTTGTGATTACAGCTCTTCAGGGGATTAACCCATGTAAGGGTCYTGACCCTGCTGAGGTCCCACATTTGCTGCTTGCCCTCGACCTCCCAAGATGAGGCAATCCCCGGGTATCCAGGCTGCAGACTGACCCTGCTGCAGGCTGCCCTGCATCCTTAGCACAGCAACACGGGAAGAACTCAACTCAGTCACTTAACACCTCACAGCTCCCTACAAACAGGCTGCAACGTAGGAAAAGWGCTGCCATGCACGACACTCTGCTTCATTCCATGCACAAACCAGAAGACCCTAATATTTGTCATTCAGCTACTGCTCCCAGAGTACAGAGAGCTTCCACTTGAGGGACTAAAAGACAGAAGGGAGGAAAGAATTTATAAATTGCACAGTAACCGTAACTCATATTTTGCTTAGTGCATGGCTGCAAAACCAAAAAGTGCATCCCTCTTCTTGCACGTGCACCYGATGCTGCTCAAGTATTCAATTACTTCAGGAACACCCTTTGTRATTTGTTCAAGGGAACAACCATGCAACCCCCTGCCCTCCACTTTACTGCATGGCTCCACAAAGTAGGATTCAGTCCTTCTTTCAGGAAGGCACACTGCCAACATATTGCCAATAAAGTAGTAGCACACCACACTTGTGCTATCTTAAAATACACAGCTGAATGTGCCAAGTTTCCTTATTTGGCAAAACAGCCCAATTGCTTTCAGGATCTTTGACCATCCATTTTTAAACCCAAATCATCATTTRTATCTAACGGCCTGCAGTCCTTGAGCATACCAACCTGGATTTTTTCAGCAGCATATTTATGCAGTGTTAAAATAKCTATGATATTAAAAATCAAATTTAAAAGCCCAACAAAAAACTCACCCTCAAACACCAAAACATGGTTARCTACTGTCTTGTCCAAAGAGAAAACACAAAGCAAGTTACAGTGATGTTGAGCTACAAAAGATACTGCAGAAACAAGTTTTTGTAAATAAAAAAAACCCTCAATCATGTCATGAACTGCTGATGGATAAGGTGCAAACAAACTCCAAGCACAAATCCAAATTAAATACATCCTAATCTTCTAATCTCCCAATAAGTTAARTAAGGCCAACAACCCCTACAACTCCTAAACTTTCTTAATCAGACTGAGSAGCAACCCTGCAGATGGTGAGACTGGAGACATGGCTCTGCCTACCTTAGTTACAGAAGCAACAACATTTGAGCCTGTCTTTTGTCAGAACCTAAGAATTCTGTGTAACTTCCATGAATAACATTTCTAATTTTATTTCAATTTATATACAGAAAAGGGGCCTCAACTCAGCCTAAACAGTTTSAATACCGCAGGAAAAGAATAATTTTTAAGCCAAGCTGTGTGAGTGGCAGAGACCAAAGGCTTTAAAGGCTTCACTTGAAATGGAAAACACTTTATCTCAGAAAACCCCTAAATTGTTCACTTTGCTTACATTATACAGTGTGAGTGATGCCTGCATGCCAGGAGTACACACACAACAGCACTCAAGAAAGACAAGGCAGCTAAACCTGCGTCCAGGCCCATAGCTCAGCTCAGTGCTGGCACAGACCAGACTGCAGCACCCGGACCTCAGTTTTGTCAGTGTTTGTGTCTTCCCCTCACAGCAAGCCAGGCTTTCCAGGGTTACCCTTATTCACACAGTACCATCGGTGTGCAAAACACATTACGGAGAGATAAAATAAATAGGCTTCTGAGGACTTACAGTTTCAGGACAAAGTCCTGAAAACATCTAACCGCATGCCTCCAGTGGAACGCTATGATGATTTCAGGCAGTGACCCAGCTAATCCAGTGCTTTCAAATTATTTCTGCTTCTGGAATTTAGAAAAAAGTAATGATCCATGGCCTTCCCGATAGCTCTGTCGCTAAAACTTCCAGCAGAGCATGCTGGATACAGGGGTAATAGATAGCTCACACGCACGCGTGCTTAATAAGAGAATACTGCTGGAAACGAGCTAACTTGAGCAAACACAGCAAAAACAAAGAACGACAGCTTACTTTAAAGGGAGGGAGAAAAGGAAAGCACTGGGGGGAATGCAAGTCTCATCTCAGGTCCCAACCCGAGCGTATTTACGGCCAAAACAACAGCAAGATGCAGCAGGTGCGCTGCATTCTGAAACACAGTCTTAAGGAGCAGAGAGGTGGCCGAGGGCAGTAGCCCCCGATCACACGCCGGCTGCTCATGTCCCGCTGCCCGCTCTCACGGGCGGCCGCCGCCGGCAGCACCTTTCTCGCCGGACCGTCCCGCTCGGGTGTCGCTCGGCGGACACCGCTCTGCCCTGTGGTGTCCTGCCCTGTCCTGCCCGGCGGGGCACAGCTCGTCTCCGGACTCCCGCCCCACTGCGCGGCCAAGCGTGGGCGCCGCTACTCTCGGGGGAATTTGGCCGGCGCGGCGGGACCAAGGCGACGCAAGGTCAGGCCGTGTGCCCGCCCGGCCGCCTCCCTTCACGGGGCTTCTGAACTTGCTTTAGCACGGGGAACGTCAAACCCGGAGGGGACACCCACGGCCCGGCCCGGCCCGGCCCCGCCGGCTGCCCGCCGCCTCCCTCCGCCCAGCCAAACGCGCACCCACCGCGCCGCAGCCCCCAGCGCGGCCTCCGCGGGGGGCGCCTCGCCGTCCTTACCTTTCCCGAGGGGCTCCGGGCTGACGGGACCCGAGCGGCGCAGTTCCCGGAGCCGCCGATGGAAGCTACCACCGGCACGACCGCGTCTCCCGCTCCGTCCCCCGCGCTTCCGGTTGGTGCCGGGAGCCAGAGCCGGAGCCGCCGCCGCCGCCCCCGCACCGCCTCGCAGCGGCGCCACC